GATTGATTGATGAGTTTAATAACTTAAATTGAAAGGAATAAGATATAACCAAACTTAGAAAAGAGATGTTGGTGCTGTCCAAACCGAAACACTGTTCGATAATTGGGTTATATTTGGAGTTGTAAATCTTGGATTTAGGTAAATTTTATATGGATGAGAGATAAGACATAGGTCTACAACTTTCATATGAAGCCCAAGATTTAAAAAGGTCATTTTCAAGTCCAAATTGTAGCGATAACGAAGAAGTCTGAATCTGTCCTTTAACCCGAACACTATTTAGTTCTTGACCCATATCTGGAGTTCTAGAAGTCCAAATGACCTTAATTTTTTTTTCTAGAAAGTTGAGACAATTTCCTACAACTTTCATATATTTCAAGTGGTTTCAATTATGACATTACTAATGACGTTTTAGGCAGACAAGAGAAGATAAGGATTGCCACTAAGTCAAGAGTTGGCCACCCACTCATCAATTAGTCATCAAATCAATAGTTCCCAATTTTGGCCTATAAAATGAGGCATTTGCAATAGTTCCCAATTTTGGCCTATAAAAGGAGGTATTTGCCATGCATTTAGGCATCTTGGTGTTCAGATCAAGATCATGCTCTTCCTTTCTCTCTTTGTATTTTTTATGCTTTGTTTTCATTAATATTAAGTTTATGCCTTTCATTTCCTTTCCTTTACTTAGTTAACTTTTATGTTCTTATTTTGTTTATCTATTTTGTTTTCTTTCATTATGTCTAGCTAAGTTTGTTATGTCAAGGTGAAAAGGTTACACTAATGGTGTAAGAATAAGTATAATGTAAACTTAATATGGACTTTAATGTTTGATACTAACATGTTTTGTATTTGCTATCCTGTTTACTCTCTAATATTTTGATTGTTAAATGACTAATCTAGATTTATATTGTGTAACACTTGGTACAACAAATGCTTAGCACTTTCATAGCACAAACCGTATGGTATAATCGACACCTGTGCTATGAAAGGAACTTGATTTGTTGTTAACATAAGTTATAATCATGAATGCCTGATAAGATTTAAAAGTATTAGTATTAATCGAATAAAATAACTAATGTAATCATGTTAACAATTTATAATCTGATTGAAACCTCTTTTGTGTGTGGTTTCTAATTGAATAATAAGAGTTTATACTATACTTGTTTAACATACCATTAATGGATCCTCTAACCTTAACATTTGTTGTTATCATTGTTTAATTCTTACATTAATCTTTCATATCAAAGTTCTCATCCACTTCTTATTCTTTAGTACTGCTACTACTACTACTATTGTTATTATTGTTGTTGTTGTTGTATTATTATTATCTATAATTTATATAATTAACCTCCATGTGGTTCGACCCAGGTCTTGCCAGGTTATTTATTATTTCGACACTCCTGTATTTGGGAGAAGACATGAATCTTTTGGTCGTGTCAATAATAACCCTATTAGAATCATTGGGAGGTACTATATAAGGACACTAAAGATGTGCTCAAATATAGCTTTATGTTGTAGTGGTGAATTAGATGATAAAGACTCATACTACCGGACATATTTAACACTAGATGATCTACCAGAATCTAAAGAGGTGGTGGATTTCTGACTCTTATACCGTAGAAGTTAGCCTTTCTTTATTATTAATATTGATTATTCATCTAGTGCAACAAGGATGAGTTGACTTGTGTTTACTTATGGTTTTCTTTGGAGGCATGTTTAATGCATTCTAGAACATGTATTTAATCTTTTCCCATCATGTATGCCAATTTATTGATCACTTAGATATTCTTCTCAACAATTTGCTACCAAGTAAACAGGAACTCAACTTGAGAGGAGACATGTAGTAACTATATAAAATCAAGCCAAGTGTGAAGGTTTAAGAACTCAAACCTTTAGAAAATATGATCTGCTCTTAAGCAGCACATGCAAAGAAAGAATAGGGTTGTGAAGACAAGGAGAAAGAAATTGTAATGCAAGAAAAATAAATGAAAGGTTGTAAATAAAGCAAAAAAAAAAAACCCATATAGGAGAAATAATAAATAAGATTGTATTGAGATTTGCATGTGTGGCTAACCATCACTCATGTTGACTGTGATTGTATAGACTTTAAATCCTACATGAGTAGTTCTAATGCAAACCAAACTACTACTTATCGGATAAATCCAAATCTGATCTCTTTATCTATTGATCAATTATTGAGGGCTCTAGTTCTGGATTTAACTAGGTTTTCTAGTTCCATGCACGTATTGAAGTGGAATTCAATGTTTTGGTCATCGATGATAAAGAAAACTAGGGGGACCTTACTTTGATTTGTCTCTGCTTTTCACTTCAATAATGAACTTGTGCCTTTTGCTTCAGTGGGAAATGAGTGTGCTAGGGCCAACCAGGGCCGCTTAATCTTTTCCACAAGCCTTCCAGCACGAGAAAACAGCCTTCAGTACAATGAATCTGCCATCTGTTTTTTCGAATACACGTCAGAAAAAAGCACTTTTTATCGATCTGTTTTTGTCGCCTACTGGTATTTTAAGACATAAACCTTTCTCCTTTTACTCCGATTGGAATCCACTACTCATAATTATTGGAAGTCAGACGCAGAAAGCAACCATTCTTTCCTTTTCGATACCCAATTAACAACATGTCAAATATAACTCATATGCTTCTTTTAGGCTCTTTCTTCCATGATTTAAAATTACCATGATTCTGGATTTAATTTTTCTTTTTAAAAAGTATTCTACATTTACTCGTATTAAAAAAATTCAGCCACTCCAAGTTATTGGAGCAATCTTCTCCTAGAGGGCAGCTGTTAGAGCTGCCTTTTTTCAAGGTTTTTACTGGATTATAATTATAGTTATTTTTTAAAATATTTTTATATTAAAATATATTAACATAATATATATTTTTATTTTAAAAAATTATTTTTAAAATAAACACATCAAAATAATTTAAAATATATAAATAAATTAATTGTTTTTAAAATATGGATTGACCCGCATTTCCAAACACAACCAAAATCAAATTATTTTAATTGAAAAAAATTTTAAAATATTTTTATTATTTTTAATTATATTTTTTATCCTCTTTGTATCCACCTCTTTTATTAAAATAAATTTTATTAAATAACTAATAAAATTCACTAGTTATTCCAAAAGGATAAAAGTGATATTAGAGAAGTGGAGGCAAGTACAAGTAAATTACTCCAGCTAAATAAAAAAAAAACCAGCCATTTGACTTACAATCTGAACGTGTAGGATTTTTTAAAAAAAAAAACATGTAACATGCTATCTTTTTCAATTTATTTTAATAGTAACTGTAAATCATAAAACTTATATATATATCTAACTGAATAAATTAAAAATTATTTATATTATTAAATAAAAAACTAGAAGATAATATATATCAAGATATTTAATCTCGTAATATAAATAATTTATCTAATTATGTTCATTGACTCTATTTATTAAAATTAATTTTTATTTAATTAAATGATAGTGAAAATAGACATATAAATAAATTGACTGAATAAAGTCAAAGAAAAAACATATCTTACATGGATGCATTTATTAGAAATACTATCCACATATAAGTATTTTTTTAAAAATAAATTTTAATTATATAAAATAGAAAAAAATTATAAATAAATTAAAATAATCTCTTAAAAAATTAAATGCATTCAAGATAATTAAAAAAACCACTATTTAAAAAAGGTCAAATACAAAAAATAAAACATCAAGGTGAAATGGTGTTAATTTAAATATTAAAAAATATTAAAAAAACATGCTTTTTTTAAAGAAAAAATGACTAAAACCAATAAAGAGACCACATGTTATTTTTAAAAAAATTAGGATGGATAGCATATTGTTCACCTTATTATTTTTTTAAAAAAGAAACATTTTTCGTTTGGTTCTCCCCATGTAACAAGGTCTTTCTTAACACAAAAAATCATTTTTTAAACTATTTTTTATATCAAAAACATTTAGAAAAGAGTTTAAATACCTTACAAACTCATAAATGACATTAAAAAACTAAAATCAATATACACATAAATCTAGAAATAAAAATCTTTTCAAACTTAGATTTATTTTTTTATATAATTTCATGATGAAAACACCTAAGTAAAACTCTTCTCATCAAATAAAATTTGTTGACATAAAAAATAACTATTTTGGCAATCAAGATTGATATCATTGTTAATTTTCTTTGTCTATTGTCAAAATTCAGCAATTTCACTTTTTTTCTCAAATTAAAGACTAAAAAATTATAAAAATAAAGTTTTATATTAAAAATAAATTGTAAAAATATCAAAGAACCTAATAGGTATAATGTGTAAAATTTGAGCACTAAAATAAAATTTATGTGAGAACTTTGAAATCATAATTCATTTTGTGACGTCTTACCTACATTGACTCTTTATTTTTTAGTTAATAAATTTGATTCATTTATTTTTTAATATAGAAAAAAAATATAATCATGAAAAAAAAAACACTAAACAAATCCACAATAAAATCTGCAATGATGAACAGTGTGTTCAATGTTTTACCCGCAGCATTGAGAGCTAGAGCTTTGTATAATTAGATATTCACTCTATTTATCTAATCTAGAGTATCAAATATGATATTCATTTGAATTGCAACAGGAATCGAGTTTAATGATGTTCATATTTTATCCATTATATACTAAGCAAGATATATATATATATATATATATAACTAATCATTCGGACTAGTTCGGGTTAAATTTAATGCTTGAATTTTCTTCCAAAAGAATTTTTTTTCCCCTCCAATTAAAAGGTCACATACATCAAGAGTACTGGATGCACATCCATGTCTCCCATCAAATAAAAAACAAATTTCTCTCACACTAGAATTAGGGGATTCATGAGAGTTTTGCACGTCAAAACTTAATCTGATACTTGAATATTGATAGCCAAAGAGGGGTTGAAGCACCATGTCTGAACCAACAAGAAGAGAAAGAAATTTGTATTGCCAATCACGAAGAAGAAAGAATTGACTGCTAAATATGCAAATTTTTCTTATTCAATTGAAGAAAACGTCAAGCATCATCAGATTTTGTCACCGAAAAATCTAAAGCTTGCTAGCAAGAGAAAGAAAACATTATTAATTCTATGGATTGATTAATTCAATCCAAATCATCTGCATCTCTTATTGACCAATAAATGAGGCAGCTTTATGTACCAGCAATGTTCAATTAAAATTGTTGAAACTGGGACGGGAACCGGAATTGGAAACACAATGGAACACCATAAACTCACACTTTGGCGATATTTCCTTCAAAAGCAATCTCGCCGTCTGCTCCTGTCTCGCCTGAGCCCCTTGCTTCTCCACCAACGCAGCAGCAACAATCCTGTCTAAGCCACCACCCTTCCCTCCCATCACATATGCCACCAAAGCCGCCTGCACCGGGCCCATGCTGGGATTATAGGCAGCAGACTCCATATATGATCCTCTGAACACCTTCCCTTCACAATCCATCAAGGCCAACCCTGATGGGCAATTAGTATAGGGTGCATGAGACTTTTTGGCAGCTTCTAAAGCCTCATTTTTCAGATCTTCAAAGGTAGCACTAACACCATTTGGTAACTTGTCATCACCTAGAAACGACAAGTTATTATGATGGGGCTCCAAAAGCAAGGGAACATCCTTACCCAAAAGATCATCAGGTCCGAACCTGTGCGGTAAAAGACAAGACATGGGCTCAAATTGTTCTTCATTTGCTAAATCATTCTTGTAATTGTGGTTACTATTACTATCACCCGTGATGAGGATATGTATATCAGGGGCGTGGCGGATTTCCTGAAAGAATTGACGGCAGTGACCACAAGGGGCGGCGGATACAGCAACGTATTTTAGGGAGGGCTCCGCATTGAGAGTGAGATTGGTAATGAGGAATTGTTCGGCGTGGACAGAATGATGGAGAGGGAGGCCGGGGAATTCGACCTTGCCACCCAAGAAGATGCGGCCGGAGGATCCGAGACCGACGGCGCCCACGCGGTAATTGGAGATTGACGGGCGAGCCAAGGCCTGCGCCGATTTGACTAGGGTGGGGAGGAGCTGGAGGACCGTGAGGCCTGATTGTTTCGCCATCGATTCGGCTTCGGATGCTTCAATCACGAAGATGGGTCCATCCATATTGTTTGGTTTTATTTTGTCTTGTCTTGTTTTCTCGGTGACAGCGGTGGTGGTGTGTGGCATCAGAGATTTGAGAAATTACGGGTGTGAGAGGCGAGGCAGGGCAGGGGACTGACTCATGGGGACGTTTTATAAATTATTGCTTTAGGAAACCAATAGCGCCAATTACCAAACTAATAATAATAATTAAATAAATAAATAAACATTGTTAATGCTAATGTAGAGGCAGATGAGTTTGATGACGATACAGTGCCACGCCATCATAAGAAAAATTAAGGATGCTTTAATTGCACTGTTAGATTGCTATAATATAATGATTTTTTACTCTTCGTAATGATAGTCAAGGAAGAGCAAATTTCATAATAAAATGAGGTTCAACTAGTATTTTTAAAATAATTAGAGGTAAATTAGCCTTTTTATATTTTTATTACATAATAAAACTAATAATTTACCCTTATAATAATAATAATAATACAATTTCTACCTAGCAGGCTCCATTCTCTTCTTTTTTTCTCAAAACAGTTAAAAGACTAAAATATCACTAAAAAAACACAAAATATGCTATTAAAGGTTTTTTGTTTTTTCTTATATTTTTTTTTATTCTCAATTTGTATTAGAAGTAAATTAGTTTTTTAATAAATAATAAATATTATAAAAACTAAAAAAAAATAATAACACGAGTTATCGAGTGGACACTACTCATGCCCTTTAAGCAATTCATACAATGACAATTAACGATAAAAAATGATCAACCGTTGTGTCTCTTGAAGAGTCATGTGGCAGCATGACCGATGGGGATATAACATGTAATTAAGTTCGCAAAGGTATAGAGGTGACAAGCTATTTTTATCCTTTATCTTTTTTTCTCTTTCCTACCATATTGATTCATGTCTAATATTTTAAAATCCAATTGTGTCCTTCAATTTATATTTATTTTATATTTGATTCTCATTATTTTGATTGCTTTTGTGTTGATTTTTATGTTTTTTAAATTATTTCTTTTCAATTTCATCCCTCAATATTTTATTTTATTTTATTTTTATATATAATTTGGTCATCATGCTTTTTATTGTTGTTTTTTATCCTTTTTCTAATTTATTTTTTTTTATCCAAAATTCAATTGTTTCCTTCTATTTGTATTTATTTTAATTTTGTCTCTCAAAATTTTATTTCATTCAATTTTTGTATTCAATTTTGGTGCATATTCTTTTGATTGTTCAATTTTATCCCTAATTATTTTCTTTTATTTAATTTTGTGCTAAATTTGACTCTTATTATTTTGATTGTTATTTATTCTATTTTTAATTTTTTATGATTAGGAATTTCATTTTATTATTTTCTCATGTCTATCTGCTCTTGGTTAATCGTTGTCTAATGACTCAAGTCACTGGTTTTAAATATTAAGTCAATTTAAGTTCAATCTTCTTTTAGATCCTTTTTACAATTTTTTTTTAATATTATCATTTGACATTAGATTATTGATCCTTAAGTTTTGTGAGTTATTCTACTTTCTATTATAGGGTTATCCTATCTTATATCCTTGGTAGCGAGTTAGTCAATTAACTTATATTGACTCGCGGTTTTCTTCTCTCGACCCTTTTTTAAATAATTTTTTTTAATTTTATCATACCACATTAAATTATTGGATCTTGAGCATTGTGCTTTTTTTGTTTCCTTTATGTGGGGTTATCCCAAATTCGAGTTAGTCAAGTTAACCTAAGTAAACTTATTTTTTCAATGTTTTTTTATTGATTTAACTTTATTTTTTTCTATTTTTTTTAATTTTAATGTTTTTCAATCTCATTTTACATGTAGTGAAAATGATTATTTTCACTAGTGTATATTATATCATTTGACTTTAGGTTATTAGGCTTTGAGTTTTATGATATATTTTTTTGCTTTTTTTTTTCTACAAGTTATTTCGATCTCCTATAAGGAGCCATATGTTAATCAAATTATCTCGAGTTGATAGGTTATCATTGGAAAATTATGAGTCTAGATATGTCTTTTTAATGAAAATTTTTTGCTCACCCTGTTGTTACCCATTTTTTATATCCTACATAAAAATAAAAAATATACAAAATACAAAAAAAATAAAGTTGGAAAAAGTGACGCTTCAACTACACTGTCAAGTGATGTATCATTTATTTGCCCTATTATTTAAGAGAAAATTACCCCTAGCACCATATAATTTACTCCAAATTATATTTTGCCTCTATTATTTCATAAATTACAAAAAACATCTTGAACTTTGTATCTTCATAATACTTTAAATGACATTGACAAAAACATTCTAATAATTTATAGGTTTGTTATAAATTTTCAATTAAAAATCAAAGAACCACTAGTGTATATAAAAAAAGAAGCTAATATTGAAATTATTTTTGAAAAAATTATCGTTGATGCCTAGCTTTATATATACCCTTAAATAAAGTATTAACACACATTTAAGCTCATTAAAACATATAAATTCCTCCATATCAAAACATAAATTTTAGTTTATAGAAACTTGTAATTTTCTTTATATCAAAACAACACCTTTTCTTTTCATCAAAACATACAAATATTCTCATCAAAATAACATCCTTTCTTTTCATCAACCCATTTTTCTCACTATCAAAAAACTTTATAAGCATAACTGACTCAAACTCCCAATATAACTTCCCAAACTCTTAAAATCTCTTTTTCACATTGGTTGCCAAATTTTCAACACCTAAATTTTTAACAAAACGAGCACATAAGTTCATAATATGAATTCATATACATCAAACAATAATATCATACAAAATCATAATAGTTATGATGAATTAAAGTTTAAGAATTGAAAGTGGATGAAATGTGGGGAAAAAAGTAGCTAATTGTATTTTAGAATCTAAAGCTAAAAAGAACAAGTTATTATATAAATGTGATTATAAGTCATATGACAACTCTATTGATTGGTGCAAACTTATAAATGAAATCGAATTAACTATGAGAGGTTTACATGTATTAATGATATTGAGTTTATACTAGATAAAGTGAAGAGAATGAAAGACAAGTTATGTCAAGTTTGGATTAAGAATTATAATATAAAGGCTAATATTGGAAGTATGTAGTTGATGGTGGGAACTAATTTAGTATATGCATTGCAACTATTATTATGTTCATGTTGAACAAATGATATTAATGCATGAAATAAATTTAGATAACAATATTGTATTAACACCAATACAACATTAACATCAAGTCAGCACTGACATTAATATATAAACAATGCAATACATTTCAAAAGTTTTATACATTAAGGTAACATTAACATCAAGGCAACATTAACATTAATACATAAACAATACAATATGTTTTAAAAGTTGCATTCATTAAGGTGACATTAACATCCTAAATCTTTATAGATCATATCATAAACATACATAATAGTTTAGTACTAATAACAAAAGATCTCCATGTTCTTCACTCAATGCATCTTTTTTATGTTGAATACTAAAAGGATGTAAATTAAGTACTGTGTAATTTAAAAGAAAAATATTGATTGCCTATATGTAAACTATTCAACTAATAAAGTAACATGAATAATATGCTGGAGAATTACATGTATACCTTTTAAGGTTGGTGATGATGATGTACTAATACCACTTCTTCTAACTCTACTTGATTTTCCAACTCTGTATATATTTGTTGATCTTATGGATCTCCTGGTGGCACTAATAGATCCCCTCATATCACCACTGGTTCCTTTCATAACAGCCTTAGATTTCTTGAATCCTCTAAATACAACTTTAGATACTCTACCACTATTAAGTTAGGAAAAATCATTTCTTTGGCATATTGACACGACAAAAATATTGATGTCTTCTCCCAAGTGCAAGAGTGTCAAAGTAATAAATAACCCGGCAAGACCGGGGTCAAACCATAGGGAGGTTAATTGTACAAATTATAAACAACAACAATAGTAACAATAACAACAATAATAGTAGTAACAATAATAATACTAATAATACTGCTACTAGTAGTAGTAGTAGTAGTAGTAGTAGTAGTAGTAGTACTAGTAGTACTAGTAATAATAATAATAACAATAATAAAGAAAAAGAAGAAGAAGAAGATGAGAACTTTGAGATGAAATATTAACGTAAAGATTTAACAACGATAACAATAAATGTCAAGGTTAGAGGATCCACTAATGGTATGTCAAACAAGTATAGTATAAACTCTTATTAGTCAATTGAAAACCACACACAAAGGAGGTTCCAATCAGATTATAGATTGTTAACATGATTACATTAGTCATCTTATTCAATTAATGCTAATACTTGTAAATTTCATCAAGCATTCATGATTATAACTTATGTTAACAACAAATCAAGTTCCTTTCATAGCTCAGGTGTCGGTTATACCATACAGTATGGGCTATGAAAGTGCCGAGCATTTGTTGTACCAAGTGTTATACAACATAAATCAAGATTAGTCATTTAACAAGCAAAGTATTAAAGAGTGAACAAGATAACAAATATAAAACATGTTAGTATCAAACATTAAAATGAATAAGATAACAAATACAAAACATGTTACATCAAACATTAAAGTCCATATTAAGTTTACACTATACTTATTCTTACACCATTAGTGTAACCTTTTCACCTTGACATAATAAACTTAGCTAGACATAATGAAAGAAAGAAAAATAAATAAACAAAATATGAACATAAATAAGATAAATGTTAGCTAAGTAAATGAAAGGAAATGAAAGACATAAACTTGATATTAATGA